TTCTTCTCTATAGTTAAAAACACAATAACTTATCTTACATAAACTTTTCCAAAAAATAAAATATATGTCAATTTAATGAACGAGTTATCCATATTCTTTTTGCCCCCACATTTTTTTATTGGTACATTATAGTTGTACATAATGATGGGATTTGTTGTTACATATTCATATATACACACAATATAATAACATAATTTGGCCAATGTCACTCCCCAGCACTTCTCAACTCCTCCATAATCCTGGTAACAAACCCCAAAAAGGTCATTACAAGAAAAGAAAATTTATATCTAATCTCTCTCACAGTAGCATATAAAAGGAATCAAGCAATATAGAAAAAAGAATAAGAAATCACAATCACATTTGTCTTATTTCCTAATGCAATAATAATAAGACATTTGAAAAAAATCAATTAACATAAAATCACCTTAAAAGACAAAAGGAGAAAAATAATTTACATGGTCACATTATCGAATCATTTTCTTGAATTCACAAAAATTATATATCTATTCACATTTGTGTGTGTGTGTGTGTGTGTGTGTGTGTGTGTGTTGCTGAGGATTAAACCCAGAGCCTTGCGCATGGGAGGCAAGCACTTTACCAACTGAGCTATATCCCAAGTCCTCTATTCACCATTTAAAAACAAACAAACAAAAATATCTCACAGGACAATGAATAAAGGGGAATTTCTTTAATTAAGAGTATCTATAAGCAACCAACCAAACAAAACCCCAAAGCATTATATCTTACAAACAAAACCCCAAAGCATTATATCTTATGATGAAATATTAAAAGTATTTTCCCCTAAGATGAGAAATGAGACCAAGATTCCTGCTTTTTATCACCATTTGTATTCAATATTGTACTGGAGGCTCCGGTCAGTATAATAAAGAAAACAAAAATGATATAAAGATTGGGAAATAAGAACTAAAACTGCCTCCTTCATAGCTGATAAGACTATGTACACAAAAAATCTAACTCTCGAATGCTGATAAACATGGGTGGGTCTACTAAGTGAAAACTTATTGGGCTGTAGAGTTACCAAGGGTTTACTTTTCTGTATATACTCTATCTCAATTAAGTCAAAATCCCAAACCAAACAACTGCAAATGCCTAGGCCCCATCTCTACAGTCTATGACTCCGGGAAGAATGGGAAGGGAAAAGGCAGCATAAAACTACTTTCAATAGTTCCAGAGTGATTTGGAAGCATGCCCACTGTCCTAGAGTAGAGAAGAATACTAAGTATGTAAGTGACACTAAGTTAGGGGTAAAGGAGAGGATCTGTTACTAAAGAAGTATATAATTATGAAAATTGGCTCACAAATAAAGCTTGAAGAATATTTCTAAGATTTAACCTCCCAAACATTCTAAGTTTAGATTAAATATTCAACAACAACCACAACCTAGGTAATTCTGTTAATTTTTCCTGGAATATAAAGATAAGACATATATCCCATTTATTTTACAAGGCTAAAATCTAATTAAAACATACACACAGGAGGGAAACTGACCTACTTAACTTGTGAATATATAAGCAAAAACTCTAAATAAAATACTTTCAAACTGGGCTTAGCAGTGTATTCAAAGAATGCACTGTGGCCATGTAACATTTGTAATACAGTATCAGCATGCTTCAAAAGTAGAAAAACCAACAAATATAATTAGCTATATTGATAGATCAATGATATAAATTTTTTCTTCTTCTTTTACCAATGAATGTATTTGTTGCATTAACCATACATGCACCTGTGTGGGTACACACACAGAGACTATATAAGTTGCTTAGGCTGGCTCTAAATTTCCTATTCTCCTGTCTTAGCCTCCTGAGCTGCTGGGATTTATAGGCATGCCCCACCATCCCCAGATAAAATACCATTTATTCACTGAGCATCTTTTATGGTTGAGTCAAGAGCTGGAATCCCTGAGGGCCATAAAACAGAGCAAATCATAAGCCTTATCCTGCATTTAGAGAGGCAAAGCAAATGAACACTTAAAAGTTTGACAGTATAAGGTAGTAAATAAATGGGAAGTGGCAATTCTCTGGATTCATTTACTTTATATTTATTAGGTATCTTTAGTATTTATTTACTGGGTAAAATAATGGTTACTAAATATCTTTTAGCAATGTTAGGTAATCCCTCAGAGAAAACTGAAGACAGAACCAAACCAATTCTTGACAATGGAGCATTATAACATGTTTCCCGGTCTGTATTTTCACTTGTGTACCTCTGGTCTCTCTTTTCACCCCTGCTAGTCTCATTAATTTTATTTATCTTGTCAAAGATATTAACACAGTAGTAGAATCGCCCAGGAGGCATTAAAGCAACATAGATAAGAACTTTAGTGGATACTCAGTCCACACTTCTACCTTACCTTCATACAGGATTATTTCCCTAACATCCCACATATGAGTGTTGAGCTCTGTTTGAATATTTCCACTGAGAGGATGTTACTTTCGCTAACATTTTTTTGTGTGTGTGTGTTTGGAATTGTTACGTTTTTGCCATTGGCTTTGAATTTTAATTTTTTATTTTATCCTGGGGCAGAAAATAGGTGAGTTCAAAAGTAAAATTATTTATCCAACTAAAACAATTTTAAAATAGGCTGGCTATTTATCCTGAACTACCTAACTCTAATTATTATTATTTTTTAGTTGTAGATGGACACAGTGTTTTTATTTATTTATTTTTTAATATAGTGCTGAGGATCAAATCCAGTGCCTTATACGTGCTAGACAAGTGTTCCACCACTGAGCTACAACCCCAGCCCTGGCTAACTCTACTTACTGAAGCATTTAAGTATCAGGATTCTAAACTTCAGAACCTGAATTATGGCAACCCTAGAATTTAGATGTGTCTGTGAAGCCAATGGAGGTAATAAGATAGTACTAATCCATGGAAGGGAGATTCCAGAAACAGATCTGAATCAGGGACATCAAGATGGTGTCAGAGGGTGAGGCCATTCTGAATATACTACTATTATCAGTCTCCCATACTTTCCACTAGCCCCAGGGTCTCGATACTAAGTCCTTTAAAGCAGTAAGTGTAGTGAGGAGAAAAATAAATAGAATTTTATGTAATACCTTATGTCTAGAAATTCCACTCAGTTTTACATCAAAAACCTCCGAGTCATCCTTATACTTCTCCTTCAATCTCAATAGCTGATCAGTCACCAAATCCAACATTCTTTAAACCCACTTGACTAGTTCTGTATATTTTACTACCTAAAAATATCTTATATCCACTGTTAGCACCCTGGTTCCAGTTAACATCAATTCTTGTCTGGATCATTGCATTAGCTTCTAATTAGGTTCCCCACACTCACTTTTTTTTTTTTTAATTTTTTAAAAATTAAAAAAAAATTTTTAAGTTGTTGATAGACCTTTATTTATTTTATGTGGTGCTGAGAATTAAACCCAGTGCCTCACACATGCCAGGCAAGTGCACTACCGCTGAGCCCTAGCTCCAGCCCCACCACACTCACTTTTGATCTCTCAAATTTGTTCCCTAAATTACAAACAGCATGATCTTTTAAAATCACTAATGTGATGATCAAAACTCTTCATTGGGACTGGAGATATAGCTCAGTGGTAGAGTGCATTCCTAACATGTGCCTGGCCCTGGGTTCGATCCCCAGCACCACAAACAAAAGAATCACAACAATTCTTCATGGCCCTCCTGTGATCTTAAGATAAAAACCAAATCCCTTAATTTAGCCTATAATAATAGCAATACTACAATATATCCTTTACTAGAACATATTCTTTAACAAAAAGCAATATGGGGCAGAAAAGACATTTTTAAATCTGGAAAACAAGCCTTGTTAGTAAAGGAACTGTAAAACACTCTTAAACCTATACAATTTCACTCCATGTTCAAGAATCTTTAAGTGCAGTGGCTTTCCTGTTTCCTCTCCCTGCCTCAGGTTCTCAAGTGCTAGTACCTCCACATGAACCTTCCCTCAAGTCCCCACAGAGATCTTCTTCTCTGAGTTGTGGAAGAAGCTCAGATCTTGCTGTTTTTTTTTTTTTTTTCCCCTCCCAATGGTGGTGCTAAGTAAACACTCTACCAGTGAGCAACCCCTCTCTCTCAAAGATACCAAATTCTTCAGAATTTTCATTAGAAAATAATTACCTACTTGGGTGACTCTTTCCCATTAAGTAGGGGCAAGAATCACATCTGTCTTTGTTCACCATTGCATTTTTAGTTTTATGTGCCCAATAAATAATAGGTGCTCAACAAATTTATTGAATAAAAAACATAATTTTAAATTACTATGTGTACTAAAACATAATGATGGCTTTAGGAGCACGTAGTGAAGCTTAATAAAAGACCACCCAATCATGATTCAATTGCTTTAGTCACTCCTTTCTTTCTTTTTATTTATTTATTTATTCTTTTTAGATATATATGACAGTAGAGTATATTTTGACTAATTTTACATACATGGAGTATAACTTATTCTAATTAGGATACCATTCTTGTGATTGTACATTATGTGGAATCACACTGGTCCTGTATTCATATATGAGCATAGTGAAGTTATGTCTGGTTCATTCTACTATCTTTCCTACTCTCGCACCCCTTCCTTCATTCCCCTTTGTCTAATCCAATGAACTTCTATTCTTCCCTTCCCTACCCTTTCTTTATGGGGAGGAATAGGTGAGTAGGAAAATTTCACAAAATGAGATGGTACACAACATGCTTTCTGATTCTAATGTCAAGTATAAATTTGATAAACCAATTAGTTTAATGTTAACTTTTAGTTCAAAATCTCCGGAAAGTACTTTGAGAAAGTATGGATTGAGTTTCAGTGACTTTCCCCCAGAATTACTTAATATTCAAGGATATGTTCTAGTGTAGTTGAAGGTGTCTGGAGTCCAACTGCCTATTAGTAAAATATTACTCTATTCAGGAACACACAGATCTTAGTTTTCTATTATTTTAAAGCTTTATATCTGTTAGTTAAAACAAGAAAGTTCTTCTAGTCTTTCAGTACTTACAAGTGAAGGAACTGTGAATATCTGAACCGAGAGGTCTGCGATTGAAAACTCTCTGTCGTGGTCATCTGTCACATAATCACTCTGCAAACGCTCATAGTTCTATTAAGAAGGCAAAAAAAGGCAAGGAGTGCCAGCTATCAGTTACAAAGAAAAGGCAAGCACTACTCACCAGAGTAGGTGCAGTGAAGAACTGGACAGACAGAGCAGTCACCGACACTGCTCGCTCGTGATCATCCTCCATAAAATCTCTCTGCAACTGCTGGTAATTCTAAACAACAAGGGGGAGATTCACCTCTAATCCACATTGACCAAAGGGTTAAGGATTATAATGAAGTCAGTGCTGGATAACTCAATAGGATAACACTGCTATGAGAACAACAACTGGAATAATTTCTACCAATTAAATCCTGTATAAATATTGATTCACTAAAACCTGTGGAATCTTGTATAAACAGTGATTTTTCTGGAGCCCAAAGTTGTTTATTCAAATCCTAGGATGATATTTTAACTGGTGGGGCCAAATACAGTAACATAACAAAGTCTTTCATGAAAACCGATTTTCATTACTTCTGGATGTGTATTAGAATCATTTGATGACTCCTGCAAAGTACACATGCTTGGGCCCCACTCTTGGTGAAGCTGCTTCAATAGATTTGAGAATGGAACATAAACACATGTATTTTGAAAGAGCTCTCCAAATAATTCTTACATACTCCCTTAATTAAGAACTCCTAATTCAGGGGAATAGAAAAATATGTGGTTAGTTTAATCAAATGTTGCTGAAAGGAAGAACTTAACCTTTATCAACCACTGAGTTCATAATTCCTAAGTCTTATATGCATATTGTTTCAACCAAGATTATTGTTTCCTTAATAGGACCAATGCATAATTCACAATGGCACAGATTTAATTCTTCCTTTATCACTTTGTATTTAACAAATACTACATAGATGGATATTTATGTTATCAAGGGAGATGTTAAATGTTTTACTACTGTAACTTTATTTTATTGATAAAAGATAAATCAATATGTTGATGTATTATGAGTAGATGCGAATTTTTTTGAGTTTTGAAATAATTTTAGGCTATACTTATCCTTTATATAACCTATTTCATTAATCTTCAAAACTCAGAAAACACTTACTTTTGCAAATCGAATGGCAAATAGTTTCTTGTATTTCAAATCCATAAGTAGGCTGCTCATGAATAATTGATGATATACACTCCTAGCACCTTTAGAAAAAGAGTAGGTGTAAGATATTGCTATACCCAAGAAGCCAAAAATTACTTTAAAGTTTTTATGTGATTGTCTTCTAAAACTCCCAAGAACAAAAGTCTACATGTTTTTCTTAGTACAGATTTTGTGCTAAGAAAATTATGTTTTCTAAATATAATTTTCTAACAAAATATAAGGTTATTTAATTTGCATCATAGACCAAAAATGTTGCTGTTTTTCCCAAAGGTTAAGACTGTACTCCCGCCCCTACTTTTTTTTTTTTTTTTTTTTTTTTAAGTATTGGGGAATGAACCCAGGGCCTCACACATGCTACATACATACTTATTCCACCACTGGGCTATACTACATACAGGTCCTACAATGCTAATTTGAAAATGAAAAGACCTTTAACATCCCAACCCTTTATACCTTAAAAGTAGTTAAGAGATTCACCTTTCCATAATTTGGAATCACTAAGCATCAGTCTATCCACCAGACAAGAGTTTTCACCATATGGTCCTTCCTGTAATCCAACTTGACATAAAATCCGGCGAAGGCCATCTTTAAATAGGAGGAACAGCAAACATGAGATGGCTACTTCAAATATTATAAAGTGACATTTTAGTACATGTTCAAATAGATATATATAGTTATGTGTCTTATTAAAGGTCAAATTTACTTAGAAAAAGTGAACAATAACTATTGTTTTTACAAAAAGGAAAAAAAGTGAAATCTCACATTATATACAACTCTTTTAATGAATTAGAGAAAAACACCACAAAACAACTGATAGTGCATACTTATATTATTACATATATATAATACATACTTCTATTAAATATTGTTCTTTAAGCACTTATGTTAATTAAAGCAGATGATAATCAAATGGCTATATACTCCAAAATAACTGAAGATAGGTATAATATAAAATTGCGCTAACATTTAAAAAGAAGGGATATGACTTCTGGACTATAATATATACCACAAATTTTCAGAGTTGCTACACAAAATGTTCATTTGTTAAACAAAAATTCACTATGGATCTACCATAATGAAAGGCCCTAGATGACAAATTCCAATATCTTCTAAACGCTAAACTTTAGAAAAGTTCTTCAAATATGAATATAAGCCTTAAAATAACTAAAACTTATCATATTTTGTTCCATACTGTACAATTCAAATATCTACTTTTAGTCTTCAAGCATGCAAAATTTTTAAAAATGGAATTTTTATTATAAAAGCTGTCAGAAATCATTTAAAAGCCTAAAGACAAAATCTCATATAAGATTTAAATATTTAGGCATTTAAAAGTTATTGATGATAAATGTCTCAAAGAAAATTTTCAGCACAAAATTACTTTCATGATACTATTCATTAATACCACAGCACAGTACTTGGCATATAGGTAACAAATGAAGAAAACCAAAACTAAAGAATATGGGGCCAAGAAAAATTGGGAAGACATTTTCTAGGCAAAGCAAGTAAAAATGTTCTCCTAAACTTCTGCACCTCCATATTTGCAACTGTCAGTTTGCAGTGTGGCAATGCTCTAAAAGCCTTTGGTATTACTATTTTAGTTATTTTCTCTAATGTAACACTGAGATGTCATTTATCAATAGCCTTGGCTAAATAGTAATATGACAGGTAGCTTAGATCTATCCCTATTTATTTTTTATTTTATTTATTTATCCCTATTTATTTATTTATTTTTTATTTTATTTATTTATCCCTATTTATTATTTTGGTGTTATACACCAAACTTATTTTTGGCTTTGAACTTGAGGGTTCATTATTGTTACCATTAAATTATCTAATTTGTGAACTGCAGAAAAGCAAACAAGACAAAGCAAAAATACAAATCAGTAACTCTCAATTTGCAAATTTTCAGAGTAGCAAATTATTGCTAACCAAAAATTGTCGGAGTCAAAACAAAGATACTAATACTAGTGTTTTACCATTTAAACTGCCTACCATTGGGTTTTATTTACAGCAGCATCTTCCAGCTTACTAGCTTATGAAGAGTTCTACAGGATGCTCCATTTCTCAAAAGGTTCTTATAGCAAGTTATTGAGATTTATATTGTATTAGCATCTTAAAATTGTTCATAATTGTTTAGCCCATTGTTCCCTGTATTATTTGAAGTGAAAAATCCCTTGTGGGACAAAATTAGGTAAACTCAGGTTTTCTCTGTAAAAAGATATCCTGAAATGGTATTTTAAAATGTGAAATTAAAGCAATGATTCCACTTGATCTTTTTTCCAAAAAGTTTTGCAAGGACATATGAGCTCATTTTTTAATAATTTATTAGTGCAAGCTTTTATGAACTTACCTGAATATCCAATAATACTTCCCAGCCAAGACAAAAGTTTCAAACCAAAATTCTGATGTGCAACAATAGACGAATGCATAACTTGAACTTTGAGTGGCTTTGTCTGTCTACTGGTATTTCTCTTAAAAAGAAATAGCAAGATGAAAAAACTAACTTAAAAAGTCTATTTTATCAGAAGAAAAAAGTTAACATTTCACTTAATATAACCAAACCACCATCATCATCAAAGGAGTTTTTCGAGTAGAAAAGCACTGCTTTGATTGCTTTACTTCATTCAGATCCTAATTTTCTAGAAGGAATTCTAGGATTCACACAAAAAGGTAAGAAGACCCGGCCTGTGAGTAACCTGAATCTTTAGTCATATATCTTAAGATCTGTGGTACCAGTTATAAATTATTTAAATGCTTAAACTTGTTTTATGTCTTTAATTTCTTAATATAATTTACATTACTTAATTTAATAATTTACTTCATTACATAGATGTGATTATGCTATTAATACTTTAAAATCATGGAAAAATACATATAACAAAATTTATCACAACCACTTTAAGTGTATAATTCAATATTGTTCAGTATATAAAATAAATCTTCAGAACTCTTCATCTTGCAAAACTCAAACATTTTATTTATTAAACAAGTCCCAATGGCTCCCTTCTCTAGTAATTATCATTCTACTTTTCTGTCTCTATGAATTTGACTATACTAGGTACCTCATATAGGGTAGAATCATACAGTATTTATCTGTTACTTATTTTACTTTGCCTAATGTCCCCAGGGGTTGCCCATGTTGTAGCATATTTCGAATTGCCTTCATTTTTAAGGCCAAACAATATTCTACTGTATGTTATGCTACATTTTGTTTCTTTATTCATCTGGTAACAGACACTCGGACTATACAAATTTCTGAGACCCTGCTTTCAATTCTTCTGTGTATATGCCCAGAAGCAAAACTGCCTAATCATGTGGTAATTCTATTTTTATCTTTGTAAAGACTTGCTACATTGTTTTCCATAGTGGCTACCACCATTTCACATTCCCATGAGCAATCCACAAGGGTTTCAATTTTTCTATATCCTTGTCAATATTTTTCTTTCTGGAGAGAAGTCATCCTAACAGGCATAATGTGGCAACTCAATATCTCACTGAGATTTTGATTTGCATTTCCCTAATGATTAGTGATGTTAAACATGTTTTCATGTGCTTATATTTTCTTGGTAGAAATGTTTATTCAAGTCTAGCAAACATTTTTTAAAAAACACCTTTTTACCCCTTTTCATTTTTTGAATCCTCATTTCAAATCCTGCTTCATCCTATTAACTATATTAACATGATATGCCTTTGCATATTTTTTCCATGTACATATATTCTATATGCACACTATATTTATTAACGTACTTACAGGTATGTATAAGGGATAAATTCCTAGGAGACGTAAAGCTTTAGTCAAAAGTTACTAGACTGTTTTTATATGTGTATTCCTATTCTCTGCAAAGATATTTTATTACTCTAATTTCACTTTGATGTGTATAAAATGTTCCTATTTTAGGGCTGGAGTTGTGGCTCGGTGGTAGAGTGCTCGCCTAGCACATGGGAGGCACTGGGTTCGATCCTCTGTACCGCATCAAAATAAAGTGAAGGTATTGTGTCCACCTACAATTAAAAAAATATTTTTTAAAAGTTCCTATTTTATTGATTACTAATGAATTAAAGATTCTTTTCATGTATACTGGCTGCCTAAGATTTTCTGTTGTGATCTGTTTTGTTATCTTTTGTCCATTTTTTAATTCAATTATTCTGTACTTTCCTCAAATCTGCGATTTGTCTGTTGACTTTGTTTATGCAATATTTTGTCATGATTTTTTTTTTTTATGTAGCCCCAAAATGTGCAATTTCTTTTCTAATTCCTGGGGTTCTAATTTTGGTTAAGAAGCACTCTCCCTTGTAGTTGTTTAGGTTTTCCTCAGATGAGTATTTCTGAACTCTGTATTCTATATCACTCTAATGTATCTGTCTAATCCCATGCAAACACCACCAAGGATTACAAATACTGATTTTTTTAAAAAGGAAAAATTAAAAAATATTATTCAATGTATAAGGAGATATGAAGTGACAAATGTGAAAGAAAAAAATAACAAAATTAAGGAAAGAACTTTGTCTCTAAATCTTAACATTCTCATTCCTGAAAATAGTCCAAAATCATTACCACTCCCATTTAAGAGTATCTTTGAACATTAGAACTACAGTATTATAACATTCAATACTGCATGAACACTTTCTAAAATTCTTATTTGGTAATAATTTCAATTTACAATATGAATAAAATGGCAAAGTACATCCATATAACCTTTTGTTTTCCAGATTCATCTGCTGTAAATTTTTTTTAAAATATTTATTTTTTAGTTGTAGGTGGACACAATACCTTTATTTTATTTTATTTATTTATTTTTATGTGATGCTGAGGATCAAACCCAGGGCCTCGCACGTGCTAGGTGAGTACTCCACCACTGAACCACAACCCCAGCCCTCATCTGCAATAAATTTTACCCCAACTGTTCACATCTTTCTTTCTTTCTTTTCTTTTTTTTAAAGAGAGGAGAGAGAGAGAGAGAGAGAGAGAGAGAGAGAATTTTTAATATTTATGTCCTAGTTTTCGGCGGACATAACATCTTTGTTTGTATGTGGTGCTGAGGATCGAACCCGGGCCACACGCATGCCAGGCGAGCGCGCTACCGCCTGAGCCACATCCCCAGCCCCGCACATCTTTCTCTTCGTACTTTTTTTTTTTTTTTAAATCACTGAGGGTGTCATTCACAGAATGACCTTTTATCCATAAATACTTCAGTATGCATTTCCTGTGAATGGGAATATTCTTCTAATGACCATAGGACAGTTTCCGATGCACTATTAAATTGATTATGTTTAATAAGACACTTAGAAATTAAAGAAATGGGGCTGGGGTTGTGGCTCAGCGGTAGAAGGCTAGTCTAGCATGTGCAAGGCCCTGGGTTTGATCCTCAGCACCACATAGAAATAAATAAATAAAATAAAGGTATTGTGTTTAACTACTTCTAAAAAATAAATATAAAAAAAATTAAAATTTAATTCATGAGATACCATTTTAGACACATCAGATTGGCAAATACTTTAAAATCTGACAAAAGAATACTCCACAGCAGGAGTATTTGTCACAGCAAAACAAACCTGGAAACATCCTCATGGAAAATTGTGGTAAAATCATCAGTGGAATACAAAGGTTAAAGAAAGAATGAATTAGAGTAATGTATCAGAACAGAAAAATCTAAAAATAACACTGATATGATAAGGCAAGTTGCAATATAATACATTTAGCATGAATCTTGTAGGTATGTGCGTGCATGTAGGTATGTGGTATTGGGGATTGAACCCAGGGGCATTCTACCCTGATTCCTAGGCTGCTCTTGAATTTGTAATCCTCTTGCCTTGGACTCCTGAGTTACTGGGATTACAGGTATGAGCCACCATGCCCAGTTTCAGTATGAATCTTTTTAAATGATGTTTAAAGACCTCTACAACAATATACATCATACTGACAGGTGTTTAATGTATGAAGCACAAGAAATGAGCAAAGTGAATTAATGCAAGTAGTTCTTTTTATGTAAGGAGGAAAGAAAATGGGATTAAGAAGAAATGATATGGGAGCTTCTATACATTTTTATTTATTTCAAATAAGTAAGAAGAAAATAAGTTTCAATAAACACAGGTGTTCACTGTGTTATTTCTATTTTTCTATGTATTTAAAATACTTTATAACATCTAAAATTATTTTTTAAGTTGGGAGTGATAGTGCATGACTGTAATCCTACCTATTCAGGAGGCTAGGCAGGAGAACTGCATATTTGAGGCCAGCCTGGGCAATTTGATGAAACTCTGTCTCAAAAAGTAAAAAACTAAAGATGTAGCTTAGTGGTAAAGAGCCCCTGGGTTTAATTCCCAGTACCACCAAATGAAACAAAACCAAACAAAAACAAAAAGTCTATAGATGCAGTTACATGGAATAGTTAAGTAACAAACTTTAAAAAATAATACAGTAAAGACTATTAAGCTACTATCTTGCTATCATGTATCAAGAAGCACCATTCTCTGAATTCTAATTTTGGTGCTAAAGACCAATTTAATTACTAAAAGGCAATGGGAAATCCTATTACTTAAAAACAAAACAAAAAGCAAAAAGACTTCTAAAATTTCTTATCTATCTCTTCATTTTCTATTATCAATCTTACATAGTTTTAAAAAACTAGATGAAGCCAGGTGTGGTTGGCACACATCTGTAATCCCAGCATCTTGGGAGGCTGAGGCAGGAGGATCATAAGTTCAAGCCAGCCTCAGCAATTTAGCAAGGCCCTAGGTAACTTAATGAGACCCTGTCTCAAAATAAAAAAGAAAAAGTGCTGGGGATATGGTTAGTGGTTGAGTTGCCCCTGGGTTCAACTCCTGGTACCAAACAAAACAATATAAAACAAAACAAATAAACAAACTACATAAAATAATGTAATACTCAAAAGAAACATTACCTGTAAATATGATTTAGTTGACATTGGCTTTATATTCATGAAAGAATAAAAATTTATTCATAAACACTAAATTAAGGAGGCAATAAAAAATAATAGTACAGGAATGTTTTTAAGTTACTTACCACAATTACTGATTTTGCTTGCTCACAATACTGGAAGTCTCCATATCGAACAGACCTACGTCCCTATAAATAAAAATAAATTAATTTGTAAAAACATTCAATTCAATATTAGTACCTTATAAACTGGTAAATAAACAAATGTGTTTGAACATATAACGCTAGTCAATATTTAATATTTACAATATTCATTCTACTCATCAATGATAAGTAAATTCAATTTTTCTTTCAAAAACATCCTTTTTCAAACCATTAGTGTATATGTTTCTTTGAACAACACAACATTCATTCTACTAGGTTTTTATAATTTCCCTTTTCATAGATGAATATTTTAAAGACTAGGTAGAATGAAGATAACTATATATTTCCTTTTAAACTTTCTGACAACTGCTTACAGTTACACCAATATACATTTGGGCCAATATTCAAATGAAATTTTTTAAAAAGCCAATTTTCTGCAGTAAGTTATCTGTAGTAGCAGTTCAATTTATTATATGATGTCAATATGATAAAATCACTTACATCTCGATCCACTGTTGTTGCAAAACCAATGGCTTCTTTTTGAGTACAGTTAACAGCTTTCTGGAGAGTATATATTACTTGTTCATAGGTGTGAACCTCATCATTAAACAACATACAATAGTAGGTGTCGCTCTTTTCTCTGCGGGATAAAAAATTAATGATAGATTATCTATTTGAATATTATGTTATTCCAGGCTGATTAATATTAATAGCATACTCTGCCTTACAGAATGTGAGAAGTATTGGGCATGTATCATTAAAGAAGTCATCTTGTAGTCTCTGCTCTGTGTCATTATATTTACATTTTGGTGGAGAAAATACTGAATGTATAACTGTATGTGACCTGAACAGAAGGATACTAGAGCAGGATATAATAGGTCTGGAAGTTCAGAGAAGAATTGCTAAAGAAGCAATCTAAAACCCAAAGTCAGACTCCATCTCCAAATCTGCTGGCAATTCACTTTCTTTTTCCCAGGTTAATATCTATACTGCATAACGAAACATTATAGCAAAAATGTTGTAAGTTCTTGCTATCAATTCCACTCCACCTCCCATAGATTAACATTCAATAATGTTTGTGGACATTTTTGGTTGTCATGACTGGGCTTGGGGATGCTATAGGCATTTATGGACAGATGCCAGAGATGCTGCTAAATATCCTACAATTTACCAGACAGTTCTCTTGACAAATAATTTATCTGGTTCCAAATGCCAATAGTGTCAAAGTTGAGAAACCCTAGACTACAGGAATGTTGAAAGCAAAGGCATAGAGTTGGCAAAGGTAAATTTGGGGAGCTGAGAATCAGGAAAAAGGAAGAGACTGATGTGAAATTAGTGTGGTCTGGAGAGAAGTAAAACCTTGAATAATGGATTTTTATTTTTGCCATCTTACGAACAATCAAAGACTTGTAACAGGAGATATACCTAAAGAGATATGGATGATTTAAGTTAATGGGTAGATGAAAGAAAACTAAGAGGGAAAATATTACAAGAAAATCAAGTTGGGGGGGGGCTGGGGTTGTGGCTCAGTGGTGGAGCGCTGGCCTGGCACATGCGGGGCCTTGGGTTCGATCCTCAGCACCATATATAAATAAATAAAATAAAGGTATTGTGTCCAACTACAGCTAAAAAATAAATATTAAAAAAAAAAGAAAAGAAAATCAAGTCAGATATACATTTCCCTTCTATGCTGATAGGTCTGAACAATAAAACAAAAACTATTCTATTCTCTAGGCTCTAAACTCAGATCTTAGATCATTTAATCCCAACCTGAATTTCATGAAGATAACAGTTAAAAGGCACTAAGTAATTTTCAATATTTCCAAAAAAATTCACTATAGCAACAACTCATTTTGTTAAAAAACACTTTACCCACAAGCTCAATTCTCTGAAACTCACTAAAAAATCAAAAAAGAAATACTACCAGTGTCCAGCTTGAATTCATCCTTTGCTACAGACACAATTCCAACAAGTTTGGTTTCACTTTTTAATTAAAGAGAAGGTTTAGGCAAACATATTAACAAGGAAAAGTAAGCCCTTCCCCTTAATACAGTGGTGGCTGAATCCAGCTCTCTGGTCACAAGTCCATTACCTCAATAATCTAAGTAAAAATGGCAGCTGCATGCTAAAAAGAAATCATTATAAGGGTGGAATACATTTTATAATTAGAATCAAAATGATTAAAATTGAGCAAGTATTTATTCAAACCACTTACACTGAAGAGCTCATTCCCTAAGATGTATGATACAGGAAATAAAAAGTAGAATTGTATAGTAACTTATCAGTTTTACATATCATCAGAAAGAAAGAAAGAAAGAAAGAAAGAAAGAAAGAAAGAAAACTGCCATGTCTGAAACTAGTTAGTCTCAAAATAGTTTTAAATGACTATAAACCAACTAACCAACCAACCATGAACCAAGAGGAAAACTTCACCAATTAAATGAATTATACATATTTAAAAACTATGATATCAAAACTCTTGTTCTCTTAAAATCAAATCATTAAAAAAAATTATGTCCTATCCTACCTGTATAAAGTAAAAATTTAACAATTTTGACTACACACAAAGAATAAAGGGGCTATACTTACTCCATCTCCAAATCTGCTGGCAATTCACTTTCTTTTTCCCAGGTTAATATCTCTACTGCATAACGAAACATAATAGCAAAAATGTTGTAAGTTCTTGCTATCACATCTACTGATAAATGCACAAGAGGATCCTGGAAGAATAGAAAAAAAAATAATGCAACCATGTTAAATGAACATTAATTTTCTTTTTTCCCATCTGCTTCTACCTTTCAAAAAACAGTATAGAGAAAGCCGAAAAGTATTCCAGCTTCAACTTCTCAATGAATTTAGTCCTACACATTACAACCCAATACATCAAACTTCCTAAAATGTTTTTGATCAGAACAACCCCAATTTTGAACCAATTGAATCATCCAATGGCAACTCCAAAGAATTTTGGAATTTTGGAATGATATTTCAGGATCACTAAAATCTAACATCAAACCATCTAGCTTCATATCCTGATTATCTAATTTGAAGAAAAAAGCAAATGAATATTTTGTATGGATTTGCAAATAAGAATAGTTCTATAGGTCTAAAGGAGAGCTTGATTTTAATAATTTTAAAAGGGAGGACTCATCAAAGTCAGAAAACTGTCCCTGGATATTAGGAACCACTCATTTGTCTCCTTTTCCCTCTGCAGCATGAGATATGTGTATATGCTACCAGAGAACTCTGCACAAGAGATTTAACAGTGTTGGTAAGTCAATACATTTCTAGGTTAATGTAAAAAAGTACTATTTTAAACATGCCTAATGTTTAATTTCTTTTTCTTTCTTTCTTTTTTTTTCTTTTTTGTGGTGCTGGGGATTGAACCAGGGCCTTGTGCATGCTAGGCAAGCACTCTACCAACTGAGCCAGGCCCATTAAACATGCATAATGTTTATCATGCTATCTTTCAGTCAAGGCTGGCAAAATGTTTTATGTAATCTTTAATCTTAATGCTTTATCTTAAATCTAAACATTTTATTTAGATCAATGGCTAAACAGCATTCTACTTATTTCTCAAATTAGAAAGTATCATGTTATAACATGCCATAACATGACAATAGTAATAAGCATATTCTTACGTATGAATGCGTGTACACACACATATCCACACAATTTTCACCCAGACAAACCAAATGGAACTGATAAACAAATAAAGACTGTGGAATAAAAAAAGGACAAAAATTTCTAAAGGAGATAGGTCTAAGGCTCAAAGGTCGATTTACTTTCCTCAGTAAGAAACAGATTTTTCAATTTCTTACAATACTTTTTATCTATAACTCTTCCCATGTAAGCTGTTACATATCCTATCAAGTTTTCTGTTGTCATAGTTTTGTTTATTCCTCTCTACTTAGCAAGGTTCATTATTATTTGTTACAGAGGCTTTAAAAGTCATTAACATGGTGAGACCTGTGCACAGAGAAGCAGAAATGGTACCATCTGGGGACTCAAAAAAAAGTACTAATAATATAATATGAACCTCACACTACACCAAAATAGAAAAGAGAACCAAAACTCAGCTTTCTTAGTAATATCACCTCACCACACAGTCATTCCATTTCTTATGATTACTCCTAAAATGCAAAAAAGTCAGGGACTGAAAAATTACAAAAAACAGTGTTTATAAAAATTCAATGATTCTGGATGCAAACAACCACCAATTCTTGAGAAATTAACTGTAAATTGTACTATCAATTACTACTATTGATTTTAGTTCTTGAATTAGATTTATATTATAAAACAAAGTTGATAGTAAACTTTGACTTTTCTTTCAAGCTAGAAGAATGCAAGGTACACTACTATATACTCTTGTAATGCTTAAATTTTTAAAAATGTAAACCTGAATTATAATAAAGATTTTTTTTATTGGTTGTTCAAAACATTACAAAGCTCATGATATATCATCTTTCATACATTTGACTCAATTGGGTTATGAACTCCCATTTTTACCCCAAATACAAATTGCAGAATCACATCGGTTACACACTCACATTTTTACATTACAATAAAGATTTTAATGGCTGTATCACACAAATAAGGTATAAATGAAGATTTTCTCAATACTGCCAACTGAAAATATAAACAAGAAGCTGAATTAATTCCTGGTACCAAAATAATGGGGGGGGGGGGCGGGTTACCAGGAATTAAACCCAGGGGTGCTTAACCACTGAGCCACATCCCCAACCCTTTTTTATCTTTTATTGGAGATAGGGTCTTGTTGAGTTGCTTAGGGCCTTGCTAAATTGCTGGGGCTGGCTTCGAGATCCCCCAGCCTCAGCCTCCTGAGTCACTGAGATTACAGGCATGTGCCACCACACCCAGCCCCAAATAATCTTTCTTATCTCACAAACTGACTTTCTGATGAGTAAATAATATGTTTCATCTTATTAAAAAAAATTCATGGGCTGAGGCTGTGGCTCAGCGGTAGCAAACTTGCCTGGAATGTGTGAGGCACTGGGTTCAATCCTCAGCACCACATATAATTTTAAAAAAATTCATTAATACCACTTTAACTTGTTTATTACTAGGATTTTTATATTTGAATTTCATTTAAAATTTTTCTGTTAAAATTTCTTTTACTACCACAATGGGGCCTGGGACTGTAGTTCAGTGGTAAAGCACTTGTCTCACATATGTGAGGCACTGGATTCAATCCTCAGCACCACATAAAAACAAATAAGGATACTGTGTGTTCATCTATAACTAAAAACATATTTAAAAAAAAAAAAAACTAGCATAATGGACTGTTAGGAATTTCATTACTCAAGTTTATACTACCTAGGATTAAATCTAGCTCTAGCACTTACTATATGGAATACTTTGGGCAAGTTTCTTAATATAAAACTCAAGCTTCTGCATCTATAAAATATTAGGAACAGCAGTATCTATTTTATGCGGCTTTTTTTCTTTTTTGTACTGGGGGTTGAAGCCAGGGGCTTTATCCTCAGCCCTTTTTATTTTTGAGACAGAATCTTGATAAGTTGCTAGGGCTGGCTCCAACTTGTGACCCTCCTGCTCAGCCCTACATGTCATTGGGATTATAGACAAGTGCTGCTGTATCCAATTTATGAGGCCATTTTAGACTTAAATGAGATAGATCAAGTAAAGTACTTAGTAAAGAACCTAGCTTTTAATAATCACTGATCTGTATTCAAATGAAATGGGAACAGTTGGCACTGGGCTATAGCTCAGTGGCAGGGCGCTTGACTACCATGTGTGAGGCACTGGGTTTGATCCTCAGCACCACATAAAAATAAATTAAATAAAGGCATTCTGTCCATCTACAACTACAAAAAATAAAAATAAAAAAATAGAGAAATAAATGGAAACAGTATTTGCAACTGAAATTTTCTGATCATAGAATCTTCACTAAGGATGTTCATTCAGTTAATATTTATTATTTAATTAAATTTTATTCCAAAAAGAATTTAAATAAACTGCAATCAAGATAACACTCATTTATAAAGGAAGATCATGTAAATTTCTGTATAGCTACTACAGGCTATTAGACAGGCTGTTTCCAAATAGATGGCCCTTTTTCCAGAAGCCTCAATCAAAGGAAATACTGTTATTAGATTTACATACAGAAAAAAAAAATCTAAATGAATAAACCTAAAAGAAACTTCTTATTTATAGGAATAAATATTAACAAAGGAGACACCCTACAATATGTGGTGGTTCTCAACTAAGAGAAGTACTACCCCACTACCCGCCCCATTAATCCCCTTGAACATAGGGCCATTTGTAAACCTGGTTGAGCTTTCCTTCATTATTACTAGGAAATATTACAGTCATTTAGTCATTTAGTTTTTTACTAAACAAAAGGGTTCCAACAACATACACTCTTGGTCAACAAATGTTTTCTGTCAAAGAGTAAGATAGTATTTTAGGGGGCTGGGGTTCAGGTTCAGTGGTAGAGTGTTTGCCTAGCACATGTGAGGCACTGGGTTCAATTCTCAGCACCACATAAAAAAATAAATAAAGCCATCTTGTCTACCTAAAACTAAAACTAAAAAATACATTTAAAAAATTTTTAGTCTTTGCAGGTTACAGGGGCTCTGCGGTAATAACTCAATTCTGCTGTTGTAATGGAAAAGCAGCTACAGACAGCACATTAAATCAAGCATACCAGTGTTCCTGTAAATATTTTATAGACACTGAAATCTGGATTTCTTATCATTTTCATATATTGCAAAATATTATTTGATTTTTTTTTTCCTTCCAACTATTTTAAAACAACAACAACAAAAAAATCACTCAGGCAAAAAGAGGTTGCAGATAATATTGGGTTTGTGGGGTCATAGTCTGCTGATCCTTAGCTTATACAATGAAGAAATATCCCACTCTAATGACAAGATCTGAGAAAACATGGGGCAACCCCTACACAGTCTTCCTAAAGAAGTATAACAAAAATTTATCAGTTTTTTCTTAAGATGTAGATTGAATATATCACCAAAAATTCATGTTAATAAAAATTTTTTTGACAGACGAAACCACATTCTAACATTTATAGTTCTCTTCCTTTTCAAGCATGTAATGTGGAGAGCCTAGATACATGTATGAATTTAGTTAGTAGGGACCAGGTATACCAAACACATTACTGTCTTTTAATATCTTTAGTCCATCTTAGTCGGAGATTTCATTTCCCTTAACTGAACTCTTAAACAGATATTAAATGGCAGAGTTTGGGAATTTTATAACCCATCAAGTACCTACAGTATATATTTTCTTAATGGTTGTGAAGTGGTGTCTCACTGTGGTTTCAATTTGCATTTTCCGGGAATAGGGATATAGCTCAGCTCACATGCACAAGGCCCTGGGTTCAATACCCAGCCCCCACCCCGAAAAAAAATACCCCAATTTGCATTTTCCTAATGACTAATGATGTTGACCATCTTTTCATGTGTTTACTGGTCATTTGTAGATTTATTTTTTTCGGAGCAATCTCTATTCAAGTCCTTTATCCATTTTTTAAATTGGGATGTCTTTTTATTATTAATTGTAAGATACATCTTCTGGATACTAGATCCTTAACCAGATATATGATTTGCAAATATTTTTTCCAATAGTCCTAAAATTTTGTAGTAGTGTTTGTTAATCTTTTTTCTAAAGTACAAAACTTTTCTTTCAAATATCTTAATTTGTCTTGTATGTTTATATTCACATGCAGAACTTTGATCAAATATATTTTAAAATATGGAGCTGCAGCTGGGCATGGTAGCACATACCTGTAATTGTAGCAGCTCGGAAGGCTGAAGCAGAAGGATCACAAGTTTGAGGCCAGTGTTGGCAACTTAGTGAGACTTTATCTCAAAATGAAAAATAAAAAGGGCTAGGGATATAGCTCAGGGATAAAGCATTCCTGTGTTTAATACCTAGTAATACACACACACACACAAACACACACACAACCCTGACATCAAAAATCTTGATCATTCTGTTAAAATATTTGAGACCTGTGTGGTACATGCATCAGGAAGGACTATTATTTTCCATTTATCCCAAACCTATATTGGACCTTATAAGTACTTTATACATACCTCTCTGACATTCAAAAATAATAAAATAAAATCTGAAATAAAGATCCTGAAATAAACATTAAATTGTCACAAAAAGCAGACATTCAAGCATTTATTTAACAAGAGTCCACTTTATTACAAATATCATCTAAAAAAAACAATTTTAAGAAACATATATGTACAGCTGGAGTTGGGATCATCTGTACTGAGCTGTTATTTCTACACCTGGTCCCATCACAAAACCAGTGATATGATTTACTAAGAGATGATGATTAGGGTTGGCTAACATGCATGGTAATAGAAAAGAAAGTTATATACAAAAACCAACCTAGTTAACTGGCCCATACATAACAGGAAAAATAATCCCTGTAATGATAAAAATTTTAAAACTCAAACAATTTTTCCTTAAAAGAAACTTTGTGAAAATGTTTTTACCTCTTCTTCCTCGATTTCAGAGGTGTTAAGTTCATGTTTTTGACAGTAAGGACCCTCTTTCCAAGCTTCTGTATCACCACAGTCACAGAAACCTCCACCTCCTGATGTTGTCATCTTCAAAGAAAATTGTAAAGTACCTTGTCAATAAGTATTTACTGAGGGCTATCAGATAATAAATAAAAATATCAAGTGCTAAGAAAATAACACTGCTTATATGTTTAATTCTTTGGAGGGATAAAACTAAATAAAATGCCAAGCCTTCTGATGTTTTATTTTAAATAAGTGTGTAGGTTAATCTATGTGATTTCAAAATAAAATACATTGTAGTGTTCAATAAACTACAGATATTTTAAAGAGGATATGTCTGCCTGCATAGCCTCCTTAATTAGAAAAATAATGAGGATTCATGAAGGTTTTCCTGCAGGATTTTGGTTAAATTAGTATAATGCTGAGATCTATGCAATCAGGTTGTGATAACATAATATAACATAACAAAATAATATGATATGTAATACACATTCAAGGGTTATAAAGATTTCTATAGCTAGCCAGGCATGGTAGCACATGTCTATAATCCCAGCAGCCCAAGAGGCTAAGGCAAGAGAATCAAAAGTTTGAAGCCAGCTTCAATAACTTAGTGAGACCCTATCTAGAAATAAAAAGGACTGGGTAAAATACCCAGGGGTTCAATCTCCAGTACAAAAAGAAATTTGTAGTTGCTGTCCCCCACAAGAGTTTTTTTTTTTTTTTTTTTTTTTGGGGGGGGGGGCGGTGGGTAACTAAGGATTGAACTCAGGGGCACTCAACCACTGAGTCACACCCACAGCCCTATTTTTGCTTAGCACCCTGCCGTTGTTAAAGCTGGCTTTGAATTTGCAATCCTCCTGCCTCAGCCTCCCAAGCCACTGGAATTATAGGTGCATGCCACTGGGCCTGGCCCCCACAAGAGTTTAATAATAGTATAAAAAATGACCAACAAGGACTATAGAAATATTTCATTTTTCTTCTCTCACACTTCCTAAAAAACCACTTTTAGAAAGGACAGGTAATAAGAGTTCAGGAAACACAAAAGTGCTACATGATCATAAAAACTTTCACACTTGTGTGATTCAAGAATTATTCACAATTCCTTAAGTTAAGGCAATGATTCAAGAAATTTGGTGGGATAGAATATGTTAGTTAATAATCGGGAGACTAGAAATTCTGCCTTTCTTGAAATACTTTAGGAAAGTTTAGGAACAGGTATTAGTTACAGCAAATTTTAGAATAAATCCTATTATATCCTGTCCAAAGTATAAGTATTTGTGTGTTATATATCACAATATAATTCATATAAACCATGTGTTTCAGCTATTCCAAGGGGACGCAAAGATGTGTGCCCAGAAACATGGATAGGCAACCATTTGGAAAATGATAACTCCACCTTATGGCTTGTGTGTGTGTTTTATTATCAAACCACAGATAGAAAGCCTTAAAAGCAACTGGGATTCTCTTAAAGGAAAGTGGGATCCTTTTATGGATTTATGAGAATAAAGAGAACATGTAAGAATGTAGGGAGCCCAATTTTGTAGCTGCTTTAATATATTATCAATACTTGGGTAAAGCAAATTAAAAACAGAAGAAAAAGTCCTGACCCATTAGAGCTTCTGGAATTAAGAACAAGATTGATATATTCCTTCTCTACCATTTTATTTTATGATCAGGGTAAAAGTTCCATCTACCATCTGGTTCCTAACCTTTGAATGTTCATGGTCTATCTTCAATTTCCAACAGAGGAACCAGAACAGGCTTAGGAATAAACTGCCTAAAATAATAAAACTGGTGAGTCTTATTATGCACTGGAGTTGGGCCTTCTTCTATAGTGTAGTAAATGTCACTTTAATAAACATTTAAAAATAGCAAAACAAGCTGGGTGCAGTGGAGCATACCAGTAATCCCAGCTCAGAAGACTGAGGCAGAAGGATCAGAAATTTGAAACCAACCTTAGCTACTTAGCAAGGCCCTATCTCAAAAAGAGCTAGGGATGTAATCATGATAAAGCATCCCTGAGTTCAATGCCCCATGCCAAAATAAATAAATTAATTAAATTTAATTAAAAATTTAAAAAATACTTTTTTTTGGTAGTGCTGGGGATGGAACCCAAGGACTTGTGTATGCTAGGCAAACACTCTACCATTGAGCTACATCCCTAGCCCTAAAGAATACATTTTAAAACCACTTTCCCCATTTACATGTTAAATCTTTGGGCTTTAAAAAGAAAAGTATTCAATATAAAATTCAATGCTGTATATAATTATTATTTGGATATTACTAACCCTATATCGATGGTCTCTGTGAATACTTCCCAAAAAGCACTCCATGCATAAAACACAAGTTGGATCAACTGCACAGTCTCTGTAAAGTTAAAGAAAAAAAAATCAGAGTGTCATAAAATAACTATGTTATTTCACAACAGAATATTTCACATTGGGACCCATCTTAGAAAAGCCAGACTAGAGGTATTATTAAGACAGGAAATATCAATCCCAAAGATCTGTCAGATCTTTGACAGTGAAATCATTTTAAGGTACTAGATGTGTACTAGAGGGTCTTTCAAGGCATTTGTTACTAGAATGTTAAATTTCCCCCAAGATTTGGGAAAATCACACTATATATTAAAAAATACAGATGTATATGGAACACATTAAAAATGTGTATAAACTCTTAAGATTCATAACTTGGAATTAAAAATAACTTCCTCCAAACAGGTATTTGAGACCAAGGGTCTTCAAAGAGATATATATATATCTCAAAAGGGGAGGTGTCAACTGAAATGCAAGAAGACAATATTAGAACTTATATCTCTACTTAACTAAAAGGGGAAAATTAAACATTCTATATGCTCAGCATACAGACTGAAATGGGTCTCCTCACTTGGTCCATATGTCTGGTATTCATGTAACTATATGGTCCAAGACATATTAATGGGAGAGCAACAGTTCCATAGGGTGGATAAGTTGCTAGTTGTGCTCCAAGTTGTTTCATTTGCCTTAATCATACTGCCAATTATATAACATTTATGGATCACATCTTCAGAGAATCTCTAATTTCATGAAATGAGATGGAGTGTGTATAAAATAAGAAACAGTGGTTTCTTACATAGAGCTTTAAAATTCTTATAGACAGAGGTGCTAGGAGAATCCTTTTGCTAATATTTGGTCTCAGACCCCAATTCCAGACACAGAGATCTAATCTCTTGGAATTTCCTGGGTGATTTCTTGTTCTAATAAGATGACAGTTGGCAGATGGCTGGGGGATCCTTTGACAGCCTTAGGATGGGGGTTGTTTGACAGGGGAACCAACTATGAGAATAAAGATTTAAATTTTCAGCCCCAATCCTCCACATCTAGGGAGGAGAGATGGGCTAAAGTTTGAGTTATAGCAATAGACAAATGATATAATCAATCAGGAACCTCCTTAAAACTCCAAAAGGACTGGATTCAGAGCGATTCTTGATTGGTAAATACATAGAGGTCCCTGGTGGATTCTAGAGAAGGCAAGGAGGCTCTTTCTACCTGCCTTGTCCCGTGTATCTCTTCCATCTGGCTATTCATCTGTATCCTTTGAAACAGCTCTTACAATAAATGGGTAAACTTGAATAAAATGTTTTCCTAAGTTCTACGAGCTGCTTTAGTAAGTTGATCAAACTCAAGGAGGGGTTCATTGAAACCCCCAATTTCATAGTTGGTTGGACTGAAGAGGGGGACCTTGCAATATGCATCTGAAGTGACTGGTAGGCTTGTGGAACTTGTGGTATATGATGTCAGAACTGAATCAAATTATAGGACACTCATTTGATGTCTGCTGGAGACCAACACATCTGGTGTCAGAATTGTTCTGTTGCTGAAAGTTGTAGCTGGAATAATTTACCCTCTACTATGCTAGTACTGAACATTTACATATCCACCAATGCCTTCCTACCACAAATAATGTTGTAATGAACATCCCTGCATATGTTATTACCTGAATCCACTTGAGATGTCATTTGCATATAAAATCAAGAGTGGAACACCTGAGTCATATATATGCTATTGTTCAGAGAGGCTACATGACCATGGGCAATGTATAAGGGTCTTCATAGCTTTGCACCTTCAGCAACTCTTCTTATTGCTCAATTTTTTAATGTGCACCAGCCTGATATATATGAAACATATCTTATTGTTTTAATTTGCATTTTCTAATTGTTAATTATGTTGAGGAACTCTTCATATGCTTGCTGATTTGGGGGTTTCCTTTTCTATAAATTCCTTTTTATATACTTTACAAATTTTCCTGCTGGGATTGCTATCATTTTATTATTTGCAGGAATTCCTTGTATACTCTGGAGGGTATTAATTGCTTGTTAATATTAAACATTGCCAATACTGTCTGCCATTTCCCACTTCTGTGTGTTAATTATGCTCATAGAGTCTCTGATAATCAAAACTCCCCATTTGGTACAATTAAATTAATATATACATCTAGTTTGTACTTTGAGGTTTTAAGAGTACAAACTCACATCTCAAAAAATATTTTTCATTTCCTCTAACCTTTTTGTTTTTTTTCCACATTTGGTATTTATTGGGAGTCTACCTTTGTATATGATGCAAAGGAGTCTTATTTTCCCATATATAACAAGCTACTTGCCCCCTCAACATTATTTGTGAAATAATTTAGTTTCTATTGATTGCACTGTTAACTTTATATCAAGTTCCCACACATCCATAGATCTATGTCTAAACTCTCTAATATTCTGAGAGATCTACATGTTCGTATACTAACCACATAGTTATCATTATGTCTTTGTAATATGTCTTAATCTCATAAGTCCCCCTTTTTTCCTCCTTTTCTAAAGTCAACTAAGCTATTCATAACCTTAATTCTTTTTTTTTAATTGTTTTAGTTGTAGATGGACACAATACCTTTATTTATTTATTTATTGCTCTACCACTGAGCCACAGCCCCAGGCCACAACCTTAATTCTTCCACACACCATTTAGGATATTTACAGAGTTTCTCAAAAATATCCAACTAAAAACTTGACAGATTATTTGGAACTTATTGACAATACATCAAGATTACTAATATCTTTACAAGAGTAAATTATTAGGTCCACAATTCTTCCCTTTTCTGAATGAATTTTATTTCAAAGTAAACAAAAGGTTGATGAGGGACTGTTTTTCTTTTATAGACATCTAGCTAATAAATGAAGAAGAAATGATAAATCAGCATTTTGCTATTCACAATGGAATAATGATCTAAGTAACCTTTATAATGATTTTTAACTGCTAGGTACTAAAGCCCAACCTTAAAATAAAAGCAGTCAAGCATTATGTCCCCTTTGATTTGAAGAGTTAAAAAGTTATTATGAAGTAATAATCCCCTCTCCCATACAAAAACCAAAACAGGACTCAATCTAACCTACTACAGGAATTTAAGAAGCCTGTTAAGCAACACCATGAGGACACAACCAGCCAAATTCATAACATGGAAAATTCCACAGAAAGAATGAACTTGTTTCTTAGTCACATAAATGGAAAAACGAAGAAGAATGGAGAGTAGAGGAAGGAGGGAGGAGCCGGCTACTCAGGAGGCTAAAGTAGGAAACAAATGAGGCCACCCTGGCAACTTAGTGAGACTATTCTGAAAAAAAATTAAAAACACCAAAAGGCACAGCAGTCAAAGACAACAATATTTGAACTTTGAAACCACACTTATGAATCAATCAGGACAATTTTAACCATGGCTAGATATTAGACAATTAGTGTTAATTTTTCAGGATGTTAATGGTTATAGAGAAAAAAACTACATTCTGATCATCTACTAATAAGGCACATCTGGAATTAGCTTAATAATAAAGTGGTGGGGCAGAAAAAGCTGTGTGTGGATGAGGCAAACATTAAACAGAGTTGACATTTTACAGCAAATTTTGAAGCTGAACAATGAGTAGACGTCAAGTCTCTTACATTCATCATAATAATTATGTTTAAGTGTTCAAAAATCCAATAAAGTTCTTTTATTTATGTTGTTTGCCAAGATTTTCTACAATACACAATTATTGGAAGGTAGAAAATACTTTTCTGAATTAAACCAGAGAAACATTTTTCTTCTCTCAACTATTAAAGATGGTGAGTTGAGTTGCATTAATAACCCTTACAGATGAACTACCTTTGACTCCTGAACTAAATAAATCCACCTGATTCTATGTATCATTCTCAGTGTATTTTTGGATTGAAATAGCTAATATTTTACTTAGGATCCTTCCATATATATTAATAAAGGAAATGGTTCTATAACATATCCTTTTGTATTGTTTTTATCAGGGTTTAAGAATCAAAATTGTACTAGTTCATAAAGAATAAGGCAGCCTCTCACTGCTTTCCCAGTTTCTATAATTAAGATATGTAAGAAAGGAATTGTTCCTTCAAAATTTGATGGAACTGGGGCTGGGGTTGTAGCTCACTGGTAGAGCACTTGCCTAGCTCATTAGGCACTGGGTTTGATCCTCAGCAGCACATAAAAAATAAATTAATTAATTAAATAAAGGTATTGTGTCCATCTACAACTAAAAAAAAAATTAAAATAATTTGATGGAACTCATCTGTATAGTCATCTAGGTGAGGGATTTTGGGAAGATAATTGATTATCATTCTGATATTTTTATACTGTATTCAACTTATATTCATTTTTTCTAGGAATTTATGTTTCATCTGTTTACGAATTTAGCATTTAGTTCTTCATATCCTTATATTTCAGAGGTTCTCAAACTTTCAATGGCACCACTAGACCAAAAGACATGCCAATTCTGTTCATCAAATCAGTTCACAACTCAGCACCTGGTAGGCTTCTTCTTTTTTTTTTTTTTTTTTAAAGAGAAGAGAGAGAGAGAATTTTTTTTTTATTTATTGTTTTAATTTTCGGCGGACACAACATCTTTGTTTGTATGTGTTGCTGAGGATTGAACCCGGGCCGCACGCATGCCAGGTGAGCGCGCTACGCCTTGAGCCACATCCCCAGCCCTCAACTTCTTAACTTTAGAAAATACTGCCAACTTTATTTCCTATTCCATGTTAAGTTTTTACAATGTATTTGCTTTTCTGTCACAGCAACAAAAAAGCCCCAGCTTTGCAATATGACACACCATTAAAAGGAATGCAACAAGTTTATCAGTTTTCCATTTTGATATATGTGTATCTTCTCTTTTTCTTAATCAGTTTTGCCAGAAACTTAACATATTAATAATTCTAAACAGTCAATGCCTCAACTTCTTGTGTTTCATTTTCTGACCTTATCTTAATTTCCTTTCTTATTTGAGTTTGCCCTATTCATTTCCCAACTTCCTGATGGAATGTTTACCTTATTTTTTAATTTTGAATGTTTACCTTATTTTTAATTTTGAAACTTAGAAAAGTTACAAAAAACAGTAGAGAGTTCCTTTATACTGATACCCAGCTTCAGCTAATGTTAAGCTTAGTATTATTATCAAAACCAAGAAATGAACACTGGCACAATATTATTAACTACAGACCTATACAAATTTCATCAGTTCTTCCACTGAGATCTGTTAACTGTCCAAGATCCAATACACGATCCCACGTTGCATTAGTTGTCATAACTATAGTTGTCCTAACTACTTAGTATCTTCTAGTTTGTGACAGTTCCTGACTCTTCTCTCAACTTTCGTGACCATGACACTTTGAAAGAGTACTGGTCAATAATTCTGTCGATTTCCTACAATCTGGATTTGATGTTTTCATGCTTAGATTGAATTACACATTTTGGCAAGAGTATCATAGAAATGATCCTGTATCTTTCTCAATGTGCCACAACAGGGAGCATAGGATGTTGACTTAATATCTCTTTTTTTTTTTTTTTTTTGACTTAATATCTCTTATTACTGGCTTTTTGTTCCATCTAGTGAAGATGGTGCCAACCAAATCTCTTATCTGTAGTTATTGTTGTTCCTTTGATGCAAATGCATAAAGAAAAGTTTTTTTTAATTGAGCTTGTTTAAAAAATTGATTTAATTTACATACTATAAAATTCACCCTTTTAAAGTGTGCAACTTAGTGGTTCTTAGAGAATACGCATAATGTTATAAAACGTTGTCATTAATTCTAGAACACTTTCTATCATCCCTAAAAGAAACCCTGTACTCATTACCAGTAAATCCCCTTTCTTCCCTCCCAAACTCCCCTCTCCCAACCCCGACAAACACTAATCTACTTTATAGATCCATGGATTTACTGAACATTTCATGTACACGAAATCAAATATAATATATGATTTTGTTTTTGTAACTGGGTTCCTTCACTTAGCACAATTTTCTCAAGGTTCACCTACATTTTATTAGTATTTAATTCCTTTGTATGGGTAATGTTTATTGATTCATCTGTTCCTGGACATCTTGGTTGTTTTTACATCTCCTGGCAACTGTGAATTGTGCCGCATATACATGCTTTTGTTTGAATGCCTGTTTTCAAATCTTCTGGGTATATACCCTGGAGTAGAATTCCTGGGACATAAGGTAATTCTATGGCTAACACTTTAAGGAACTGCCGGCTGTTTACCAAAGCAGCCGCACCATTTTTATATTCCCATTAACAATGTATGAAGGGTTACAATTTTTTTAAATCCTTGCCAATATTTATTATTGTCTTCATTTTAAAATTACAGTCATCGTAATTGGTGTGAAGTAGTAAGGTGGTTTTAACTTGCAATCCTAATTATTAATGATGTTTACTGGTCATTAGTAGAAATGACTATTCAAATCCTTGCCCATTTTTAAATTGGGTTGTCTTTTTGTTGTTTTAAGAATTCCTTATATATTTGGAATTCCAGTTCCTTATTAGATATGTTTTGCAAATATTTGTATTTGAGGGTTGTCTTTTTATTTAATTTAGTTACATGTGGTGCTGAGAATCAAACACAGTGCCTCATACTTGCTAGGCAAGTGCTCTACCACTGAGACACAACTCTAGCCCCTCTTTTTACTTCCTCTTAATATTTATTTTTTAGTTGTAGTTGGACATGACACTTTATTTATTTATTTAAAATATTTTATTTTATTTAGTTGTAGCTGGACACAATACCTTTATTTTTATTTTTATGTGGTGCTGAGGATCGAATCCAGGGCCTCACTCACACTAGGCAAGTGCTCTACCGCTGAACCACAACTCCAGCCCTCTTTTTACTTTCTTAATAGTGTTATTTGATGCACAAAATTTTTAAGAAACCCAATTTATCTGTTTTTTTCCCCTTGTGACTGCTTGCAGTGTGTGTGTGTGTGTGTGTTGCAAGAGATCAAACCCAGGGTCTCCCATATGATAGGCAGGAGCTTTACTACTGAGCTATAATTCTAGCCCTGCTTGTGCTTTTGATGTCAGATCTAAAAGGCCACTGTTTAATCTAGGATCATAAAGTTTTACACTGTTTTTTTTCCTACAAATATTAGCTCTTACATCTAGGCCTTTGATCCATTTTGAGTTCATAAAGCATGGGTCCAACTTCCTTCTTTTCAGTGAGTATCCAGTCTTAGCACCATTTCTTGAAAAAACTACTCTTCCTGCTTCTGAACTGTTTTGGGATTCTTGTGAGAATTACTGGTTACAAACACAAATATTTAACTCTCAATTCTACTGTCTTTTCTTATGCCAATACCATACAAATTGCTTTTGTAAATGTTCTGTGTATACTTGAAAGTATATACTGTGTTTGATTCTCAGCACCACATGTAACTAAATTCTCTTGGAATAGTTCTATAGATTCTCTAATTGTTGATTTTTCTATTTCTCCTTGCAGTTTCGTTGGTTATCACTTGATGTATACTGAGACTATTATTAAGTGTAGAAATGTTCTCATTATGGCTGGGTGCAATGGCACATGCTTGTAATCTCAGTGTGTCAGAAAGATGAGGCAGGAGGATCACGAGTTCACAGCCAGCCTTAGCAAAAGTAAGGCACTAAGCAACTCAGTGAGACCTTGCCTCTAAATAAGATACAAAATAGGGCTGGGGATGTGGCTCAGTGGTCGAATTCAATCCCTGGTACTCCACCCCCCCAAAAAAAGAATATTCATTATGGATATTCATTATTTCTTCTTTACTTTTTGCTTCATTTACCAGTATAAAATTTCTTTCTATACTATTTTATGGGCTATTTGCATTCC